TACTTGCTTCCTCCTCTGTGCTCCAAGATCATAGTTCACACCTTTGACAGCAAGTAGCATCATCATAGCATAGCTACTTGCATATTGCTTAGGAATCTTTGCCCTCCTGTCACAGCGTGGACAGCAGCAGCTATATGTGCAGCCCTGTGACCCAGACCAGGGTCCAGCAGCTAGTAGGTATTCAATTCATATTTGCTAAAGTAAAACAGGTGTTTCGCTTTGGTTTCTGGTTTTTCGGTTGTAGTGGATGTATATGCGTAATACACAAATAACACAACCGGAGCTATGTATATAAGTGCTATGCTGTCAAGCACTGTTGCTAAACTGCCCATTTAACTGTTTTAGAGCAGTTTGTTGGTCTTAGACTTTTGATTGAAGATTGAACCAATTAGCTACAGCTAGAGGGAAGATTAAAAAGTAATCACCAAAATTATCTTTATCTAATATGTCCTTGTTAAGGAAACTATGGTGCTTTCCATGAAGGGAATCTTTTGCCCAATTTACTTTTTGGTTTCTATATTCATGTTTAGCAATATCCTGATTCTTCACTGCATTTGGGAAAAAAATGCCTTTTCTTTCTTTCCTTTTGGCCCATATGACTACAAAACTGGTGGTTATTCTAGACCGCCATTGTCCAATAAAGATTTAATTTGAGCCACAAATGTGACCTACATATATAATTTAAAAATTTTAGTGGCCACATTTAAAAATATGAAAAGCAACAGGTGAAATTAATTTTAATAATATACGATATTTAAAATGTTTTGCACCCGACTCTGATGTGGGGAATCGGAGAGGGTTCCCCACGCCAAGAAGCAATTCTGCGACACCAGCAGTGTGTCTGGGTCTTCAGCTCAATTCTGACGCTATCCACCCGGAGATAGAATCAGATTCCACAGGTCCCACAAGCTCACCCTCCTCTTCAGACACAAATCACCAGCCCAGATTGTTTCCTGTGATTCTGAGTGACTAGCTACAGAATGGAGGCTCCTACAGCCCCTTCCATGGGTTCATTCGATTAATTTGTTAGAGTGGCTCACAGAGCTCAGGAAACCCATCTACTCACGAGATTGCCAGTTTGCTATAAAAGGAGATGACTCAGAACAGCCAAATGGAAGAGATGCGCAGGGCAAGGTATGGGGAAAGGGTGCAGTGCCTCCATGCCCTCTCCAGGCGCTCAACTCTCCCCAAATTTCCATGTATTCACCCACCCGGAAGCTCTCAAATCCCCATTCTTTTGGGATTTCATGGAGGCTTCATTATATAGGCATGATTGATTAGATCAGTGGCCATTGGTTGGTTGATGGCTTCAACCTTCAGCCCCACTGCCCTCCCTGGAGGTCAGGTGGGTGGGTCTGAAAGTTCTAACTCTCTCATCACAAGTTTGGTTCCTCCTGGCAACCAGCCCCCATCCTTACCTGACCTCTAGAAGTTACCTTGTTTACATGACAAAGACACCTTTTCAACTCTCAGCACTTAGAAAATTCCAAGGGTTTTCGGAGTTCTGTGCCAGAAACTGGATGAAGACCAAATATATATTTCTTATTATAAGTCATGATATCACACTATTTAAGCCAACATACCCAAATATCATTTAAACGTAACCAATATAAAATATATCAATGTGATATGTTACATTCATTTCTGTACAAATCTTCGAAATCCAATGTGTATTTTACATTTACAGCACATCTCAATTCGAACTTAAATTGCTAATCACTATCGTATTGGACTGTGTGGTTCTAGTTAGCTAACATTCACTGAGTTTTTCTACGTGCTATATGTTTCACCTGCATTCTTTCAATTAATTCTCACAACAGCTCTGCAGTTGATACCATTGGGCTTATTTTACATTTGAGCAAACTGAGATTTAAAGAGCTTAGGTTATGGGGCCAGCCAGGTGGCATAGTGGTCGAGTTTGTGAGCTCCCCTTCAGTGGCCTGGGGTTTGTGGGTTGTGATCCATGGCTCTGACCTTCACACCACTCATCAAGCCATGCTGTGGCAGAATCCCATGTACAAACAGAGGAAGACTAACATGTTAGCTCAGCGACAGTCTTCCTCACAGGCACGCAAAGAGTTTAGGTTATTTGCCTGAGGACAGTTATTGTGTGTGGTGGAGCTGGGACCAAGCTATAGGGCTTTGACTTCAAAATAATGCCCCGAGTTAAAATGAAAACCGTCAGCAGATGCAGTATGGCAGATTCTGAGACTTTTGTGAGAAGATGGTGAAGATTCGACACAGGGTTGGAGGCTGGTTAACAGCAGATCACAAGATGCCTGGAAACCCATATGAATGAAGGAAACACCTTGAAGCAAACTTGGGGGAAAGGAGCACAATTGGTTTACCCATTAAGACACTACCACCCATATCTCCCAGAGTTCATTTCTTCCCTGCCAGGATGTTTGTTTGGCAACCATTCGACTGCCATATACTTAGAACAGAGTGACTTCTCTCCCTTCCATTTTAAACTTCCATCTGCTACAGGAAGTTTGGGTAAAAGTATATGCTATGGTGACTGGTATGAATTAAGGCTAGAATCTCTCAACAACCCTGATGCCATGACTGTGTTATAAAGGTCTGTAAAATATTATCCTGGTGTCATGGATTATACAAATGTGCACAAATGGCAGTTTCCTCCTTTTCCTTCACACAATGTTAAAAATGAGTAAAATATGTTTCCCACTGCACTTCCCTTGTGCTTGGGGACTCAATGAACTAATTTTAAGTTTCCACATCTTTATAAAAATGTTTTGTTTTTACTGAAATATGTTTTTGATCAAGAACATAATTTCATGATTGCGTGTATGTTTCTGAAACAAATATGTATATGGAACAAGTGCACGGAGGGGGGTCAGTTCTGGTGACTAGTCCCAGGACTAAGGATTCTTGCGTCTAACCTCGTTCTTACCACTAACTTGTTAGATGATCTTAAGAGAAGGAACAAACTTCTGCCCTAACTAATCAATCTCCTGTTCTGTTACTCTCTCTCATTTCTGGATTTGAAGAATTGGAAATAGAATTGACCAGTTGCAATAATTTCGTTGAGCTATGTAGAAGAAATTCAAATTTTAAATTCATGGAATGTCATAAACTTCAGACAGGCTTCACAGTAGCGTTAATTCTTTATGACACTTTTGAATGTGTGGCTCACATTTTCAGATATATTATCTGAATAGTGAGATATATGGTCTTGCTTACCCACTCTCATCCTGGACCCTAAACTTTGTGAGGCAGGTAGAAGAAGACAGAATCCCTGTAATATGGTTAAGACTAGCACTAACAACAATAATAATTTATATTCAAGAAACATTTATTGGACCCTTTATGAAAGGCTTTAAACATATCTCATTTAATTCTGATGACAGAAGAGGTAGATATTGTCTCCATTTTATTAATGAGAACACTAGCTTACCCAAAGTGCCTCAACCAGAACTTGAACCAGGATGATTCAAGTAATTCCACCAATGTTAGAACCAGTAGGCTATACACTGTCTCAGATAAGAAGCTATTACAATACTGTGCCAAATTCCTAGGAATAGTTCTTAATAGTCTCATAATTAAAAGCCAGAGCTCAGCTCACACACTACTTTTATTGTTGTGTTACAACTTTCACACATTCATGGTGCTTCACTAATGGAAAGGGCAAATTAGTAAAAATAGCTGATCCTTGCTTTAATCTTTTTCCAGCTTTTAAAATTGCTCCTGTTATCTTTTTTCTTTTTTTGTTTAGTTGAGGTGAAAACCACATAACATAAAAATAACTATTTTTAAGTGAACAATTCAGTGGCATTTGGTACCTTCACAATGTTGTGTAACCACCAAGTCTATCTGTTTCCAAAATATTTCTATCATTCCAAAGTAAAAGCTCCTATCCACTAAGCAGTTTTTGCCCATTCCTCCCTGCCTCCAGCCCCTGGAAAACACCAATCTACATTCTGTCTCTATGAATTTACCTGTTCAGGATAATTCATATCAATGGAATTGTACAAAATGTGACCTTTTGTGTATGGCTTATTTCATTTAGTGTAATATTTTCAAGATTCATCTGCTTTGTAGTTTATATCAGTCCTGCATTCCTTTTTTATGGCTGAATAATATTCCTTCATGTGGCTATACCACAATTTGCTTATCCATTCATCTGTTGGGGGATATTTGAACTGTTTCCACCTTTAGCTATTGTGAATAGTGCTACTATAAACATGCATGTACATGTACTTGTTTGAATACCTGTTTTGAATTCTTTTGGCTATTTACCTAAGAGTGGAATTATGGGGTCACATGATATTTCTGTGTTTAACTTTTTGAGGAACTGCCAAACTGTTTTCCACAGCAGCTGAACCATTTTACATTCCAACCAGCAATATAAAAAGGTTCCAATTTCTCCACATCCTCACTAACACTTGTTATTTTGCTTTTTATTGTTATAGCTAGCCTAGCGTATGTCAAATGGTACCTCATTGTGGTTTTGATTTGCACTTCTCTAATGACTAATGATGCTGAGCATCTTTTCATGTGCTTATTGGCCCTTCATATATCTTCCTTGGATGAATGTCTATTCCATTCCTTTTCCCATTTTTCATTGTTTCTTTGTATTTTGTTGTTGAATTGTAAGAGTTATTTATATATTCTGTATATTAGATTTTATCAGGTGTATGATTTGAAAATATTTTCTCCATTCTGTAGGTTGAACAGACTTCCTTGATAATGTCTTTCAATGCACAAAAGTTTTTAATTTTGATGAAGTTCAGTTTATTTTACTAATTATTTTATCAATTTATCTATTTTTTATTTTGTTGCTCACACTTTGGGTGTCATATCTAATAATCCATTGCCAAATCCAAGACCATGAAGATTTTACCCCTATGTTTTCTTCTAAGAATTTTATGATTTTAGCTCTCATACTTATGTCATTAATTAATTTTGAGTTGATTTTCATATATGGTGTGAGGTAGGGGTCTTGTTTACTCCTGTTTACTCTCTTTTTTTTTCCTTCCTAGGAACCCTTGAAAGCAAGGGACTGCATATTTTTAACCTGACTTCTCTAACCAAGTCTGAAAATATTTTATCTGCCACATTGTATTTCTATATTGGAGAGCTAATAAACACCAGCCTGAGTTGTCCAGTGTCCCAAGGATGCTCACATCATGCTCAGAGAAAACACATTCAGATTGATCTTTCTGCATGGATCCTCAAATCCAACAGAAACCAAAGTCAACTCCTCGGTAATCTTTCCGTGGATGTAGCCAAACCTCATCGAGACTTTGTGTCATGGCTGTCTAAAGACATCACTCAATTCTTGAGGAAGGCCAAGGAAAATGAAGAGTTCCTCATAGGATTTAACATTACCTCCAAAGGACACCAGCTGCCAAAGAAGATGTTGCCCTTTCCTGAGCCATATATTTTGGTGTATGCCAATGATGCTGCCATTTCTGAGCCAGAGAATGTAGTATCAAGCTTACAAGGACACCGGAATTTCCCCATTGGAGCTGTGCCAAAACTGGATAGCCATATCAGGGCTGCCCTTTCTATTGAACGGAGGAAGAAGCGCTCTACTGGAGTCCTGCTGCCTCTGCAAAACAATGAGCTTCCTGGGGCAGAATATCAATATAAAGAGGAGGGGGTATGGGAAGAAAGAAAGCCTTACAAGACCCTTCAGACTCAGCCCCCTGAGAAGAGTAAGAACAAAAAGAAACAGAGAAAGGGACCTCAACAGAAGAGCCAGACGCTCCAGTTTGATGAACAGACCCTGAAGAAGGCAAGAAGAAAGCAATGGATTGAACCTCGAAATTGTGCCAGGCGATACCTTAAAGTGGACTTTGCAGATATTGGCTGGAGTGAATGGATTATCTCCCCCAAGTCCTTTGATGCCTATTATTGCTCCGGAGCATGCCAGTTCCCCATGCCAAAGGTAGCCATTGTTCTTTGTCCTGTACTTCCTATTTCCATAGAGTAGAAAGACATACTGACTCAGTTGAGTGTTTGTTTTCATTGACAAAGTCCATCTGGACCCTTATTTATGGCATTCTAAAGTGTAATAGGGAATATGGTTATGCTTGGTTTTTCTTTAATGGTTGTTAAACTAATATGAAGTCAGTATTGGTATGAAGAAGGATATGAGAAAAAATGTAGGTGTAAAATATGTGTTTTGCATTGCTTCCAAACATAGTGCATATTCAGCTGCATAGTCTATTCAGCTATGTGTGAATCTATGCCTGTCCATGATAAGCAAGCCCCAGAAAGTAGAAACTTGATCTTGGAGTGCGTATTTAGGGAATGAGTGGATGTCATGGGAGCAAAGAGAAGGACTAATTAGATTGATGCCCTGATGCAGAACATCTTTTGATAACTAGTTTCTTGTGAGACGAATTGTCATCACAGGGGTCAGCATCAGGATTGGGCCAGGTAAACTCGCCTCAAGAAATCCATCAGATGCTTATTTCATTTGCTTCCCTGATAGACATCAAAAAGGAAGGCAAGACTCATCTCACCCAGTTGGAGCTTACCTGTGTCTCTTCTAAAATCAATAGGGACTGTACTTTATCATATCAGTATTCAGTATCCTGACAAATATCTTCTCAGAAGCCTCCCCAACCCCACCTCCATCTTGCTCAGCAAGTCCAAGTGACTGTCCCCTTTAAGTTTAGACTTAGTGAGATATAGTGGTGCCCTCTGCCTTCAGTTAAGCTTATTGCTGCTGCACTTCCATTCTTAACTTAGAACAGTCTGAATCTCTGTTATACAATGAAAAGTGGCTCTAGGAGTAGAATTCCGTGGAAGAATAGAGTTGGGTTTTTGTTTTTTTGTTTTTTGGGCTTTTTGCAAAACTTGAGGTGAATCAACTTTTGCTGTTATCTAATAATGGGGAAAAAAAGTTGTTTGTCTCAAAGAGTGACCAGCTCTGCTCGTAGATCTTTAAAGTTGTGGTTCATGTTCCAGTCTCATGAACACTGAGATGCTAAATGTAACACACATATAAAGCAAAGGTCCGACTGAGCAAGGCCTGGGCAGCCTCAGGGCTGAGGAACTTGATTGAAATCCCATTTTCTTGTTAGAATGTCTCAGGAGGAAAAACTTTCTACATTTTCCAAGACCTTGTCAGTCCCAAGGATTTTTTCGGATTCCCTGTTTTGTAAACCCAAATACAAAATCAGGATTATATACATTTGCAATGATCTAAACAGCCTTCTCTTGTCTAAATATTCATAAAGGACATTTTGCCGATTAAATGGAACTTGTTAACATTTAAAAACAACCCCATGAAGATACCAAAGGTAACAGGCAGTGATGAATCTTTTTATTTTTATAGTGTGGCTTGTTTTGTGGCATTGAGAGGCAGAAATGGATTCAAAATCTTTCTTTAAACCCAGGATGACTGATTTTTAAGTGGGTCTGAGTCTTCCAAATTATCCCTCTCACTCTCATAAACTGTAATTTCTTCTGAGTAGCCTGGGGAAGGAGTTTTTCTCTTCCCTCCTGACTCCAGATGTCAAGACCCAGGGAGCCAGGAAACCGTGGAGATATCAATCGAGCAGCTTTTCAACCCCGGGTTCTGGAGCCCTGGCCTTGTCTCTATGCTCCACAATTACCCCAATGGGTGCCTCCCATCTCCTGTTGGCTCTCCTCACTATTACGTATGAGGGATAAGTTAAGAACAGCAGAGACAAATTTAAGGAGAGAAGTGTGTTAGTACAACAGAATAATTAAATGTACATGCTTGATCATAGCTGGGCTTCTTAACCTTGATGTGCCTGCAAATCGCCTGGACATCTTGTTACTATGTGAGTTCTGATCCAGTGGCTCTGGGGATAGAGCCTAAGATTCTGCATATCTAACAAGCTTCTAGTTGTCGTTGATGCTGCTGGTCCACAAATCACACTCTGAGTAGCAAAATTGAGAGTCAAATCCTTTTGGCTTGAAACTTGCTTCTACCTCTTACCAGCTATGGCTTTTTGGGAAAGTTACTCAAACTCTTTGAAATGGCTACAATGGTAAATTTTAAAAAGTAATAGTATCTACATAATAAAAACATTGGAAAAGTGAGATAATAGAGCATCTTGCACCTTGTAGGCACTCAGTAAGTATTTAATATTGACATTATTATTGGTGGCTGTTGTTGAGATGAGAACAGAAAATTAAATGGAGGGGGCTGAAGAAAGACCACAGAGGGAAAGGGATCAAGAGAATCAAAGATGTAAGACAAGAAAAAGCTTTGTAAAAATTTCTTGTCCGTCTTTAAATGTCACAAAGCCTAGAATAGGATTCTCCTTGCGGGTTCAACAGCCCGTAAGCTCTTCGAGTACCGTTTCTTTGGAGAGTGGTAGAATCAGGAGAGCATCGGTTGCAGCAACTGAACTCATCATAGTATTTATCAAAACTTGGAATGGCATCAGAGCTCCAGGGAGACATAACAGGGATGAACGCGGAGTTTTCTCTCTGAGCTTGAGATTTTCTTTTGCCAAGTTGAGCGTGGAAGCTTGGCTGTTCCATGGAGTTCTCGGTCTCTCATCGCCTTGTGTGGATCTGTTTAACTTTTGAAGCTTTCTGGTGGTTCCCTAAGTCTTCCAGGCTTCACATCTTCCAAGTGGTACAGGAACTAAAAGGATGGGAAACATAAAGCAATATGAAGCTGCTTCATGAGGGGTCATTAATAAGCATCGCTGTTATCAGCACAGTGTCCAACATGGTAACCAGAGGGAACTATTTAAATAACATAGTCTGAGCAACAGAGCAAAATAAGGTCTCTGACCAGATCCGTACAAACGCATGTGGAATAACTGAGGCGCCAAAGAACTTTCAGACTTTAGATACACATTTTGCCCCAGAGGCAAGTTCTCCCAGGCCGGACTCCTCTGCTGCCCCTCCTTCCTTCTGGCCTCCTGAGAGAAAGCCTGCTCTATACGGCGGGCCTACGCGTCTGCAAAAGTCGACAACCTGTTCTGTAATTCAGAACAGCTGTGTTCTGCCTTTCCCAAATTCCAGGCTTTGCCCTTTCACCGATTCCAATTAGAGAGTTTCTGGGCTATCACACCCATGTGGGCTGGACTGAAAGAGTGTGGAGCAAAACCCCATGGCCCGAGTCAGGAATGAAGGCTCTTAGCTGATGACATACTCTCCCCTGCTAATGCATTTGTAATCAAATTCAACTCGAGGCGGTCATACGCAGCTGGGCAGGTGCGGGCCTGACCACTGCAGATTTCATTCACAGACACAGCAGCTTGAATCTTTCTGATTTCTAGTCCCTACAGCCAATCTGCTCTCCCAGGGAGAGCCCCTGGAATTCTGCCACGAGATGAAAAATACCCATAGAGCTAAAGCCAAGTCGTCTGCCTTTGCCTCCCCTCACCACCTCAGCAGAGATGGAAAACAGAGATTTCAAATGAAAAAGATGGAGCCATTGTTGCTGACAGAGACCAGGAGAACCAACAAGGATTAAAGAAATGAAGTTATTTTTGCATGGAATGGTGCAACAGCGAGGAATAGCAAAGACACAGAATTAGGCCGCAAGGAATCTAAACACTTTGAACCCAGCATCCTATATAAAGAAGAAATTCACTTTTAATGAGTTCAAAATGATACAGCCTCAATTAATTTCCTGCGTTTTCCAATTCCAATCTTTGGTCATGAAGATGAACTCTAAAAACCTCAAATCTTGATGTACTGAGTTACCTAAGCAAAAAATTACCTAAATTGATCTTGAAGTCATGTATTATCGTCATTAAAAAGAGAGACTGGGGAGGGAAATAACACAGGTTCGAATTTGAGATTGATAGATTTCTTTTGTAAGGAGTCATGAGGAATATGATCTAAACTCAGGAACAAACAAAAACTACAGCCTGGCAAGATGCTTCAAACGAGCAAATTATGCCTGGATCTTTTGTGTATGACAGAATTATTCCCAGAAAGGGTAGCTTGATCAGAGGATTCCATGGTGAGAAAAAAGGAGGAAACTCCCTAGAAAACAGAAAGTTTCCTGTTGAGACACACCAGCCCAGAATCAAGGGCTTACGCCTGAATTCCAGTGAGCCCACCGGAGGCTGTTCATAGTTTCTAAATTTATCATTTGTGAGTTAGAGCTAAAAAAAAAGACAGGAATTTTCCTAGGAAACACCCATGAATATTTTCCGTATCTACGCCGGGTCATTTGTACAGAATCTTTTCTTTTTGTTGATGGGAACTTTTTCCACAGAAATAGGTAAAATGGAGGGGATGCTATTTCTTATAAGTATTTCATCCATTTAGCAAGTATTTACTCCGTGTCTAGAGCACGCACTTTTCTAGGCACGAAGGAATAGCAATGCATAGCAGTATTTATCAATCAAGGCCTCATCTACTTAAATAGATCTACTTCACATGAAATTTAAATATTGTAGGAGTTCCTAAGACATTAACAATAACAGAATAATGTTGGGAAATCTGGTTTAAAAATCCTTTGCGACATTGTCATAAGCTGTTTGGATGACTGAGTCTTAAGAATAACTTCAAATCAATAGAGAAAAGTGGATGGCTGCAAAAGTTTTCTTTAGAAATTTCCAATACTGATGAAATAACAAACAGTGACTATTGACCTCACTTGTACAATACTGATTGCAATTTGGGGCAGTTACATAGATTTTATTAATGCTGCAGGGTACATGATATGCAAAATAGAACAACATAGACTTCTTTCCTTAAGGGGAGAATACCTTGCTTTGCAAAGATAAGTAATCGAAAGTTAACTACTTTGTGTGTGTGTGTGTGTGTGTGAAAGGAATATTGTCCCTGAGCTAACACCTGTGGCAATCTTCCTCTATTTTATGTGGGATGCCACCACAGCATGGCTTGATGAGTGGTGCTAGGTCTGTGCCCGGGATCTGAACCTCTGAACCCTGGGTCACTGAAGCGGAGCATCCAAACTTAACCACCATGCCAGCGGACCAGCACCAACTGGTCTTTTTAACATATGCTTAAAGTCTCTAGGAAGAAGAAGTAAAAAACAGTTGCCTGTTATTAAGACTACTTTATTTTTTTGGTGAGGGAGATTGGCCCTGAGCTAACATCTATTGCCAATCTTCCTCTTTTTGCTTGAGGAAGGTTGTCACTGAGCTAACATGTGTGCCAGTCTTCCTCTATTTTGTATGTGGGATGATACCAGGGCATGACTTGATGAGTGGTGTGTAGATCCATGCCTGGGATCCAAACCCGTGAACCCTGGGCCACCGAAGCAGAGCATGCAAACTTAACCACTACACCACCAGGCAGGCCCCGAGACTACTTTTTAAAATAAGTTATGTCTATTCACAATAAAGTTGAAGTCTAATATATGGATAATTATTTTTCATTAAAATTGAAAGATGGGATGAGATTTGCCCCCTCTCTGCCAAAAAAAAATCCTATTTTTTTACAGTATGCCAGTTTTCTGTATTATTTGCTTCTCCCTTGACTGGTTTGTACCCTTAACCTCTTACCTTGTTCCAGTTTCCCATATTGGGAGTTTTAGGAGTATGAAATTAAAATACCAGATCACTGGGGCAGAGGTCCCTCTGAAACATGGCTCAAAATCTTGAAATTAAAAAGCCAGAGTTTTGGTCTAAATCTCATTCCTGAATTGACATGCAACCTCTGGCAAGTTACCAAATTTCTGTCTCTAAATGTGTTTAAAACAAAACTGGTTTCACCCGCCTAAAAGAGACATTGGAGAGAACTAATGTTGAAAAGTGTAGCATCTCTTGTGAAGATGTTCTTACCACTCTGCCAACACCTAAACGTTCTGGGCTTGGAAGAGTGGCTGTCACTCAGTGCTGAGCAGAGGTGTATGGTGCTCTCTAAAGAAAACCACATGTCTCACATGGATGTTAATGGTCCCATTTGGCATTTTCTTAAGAATAGATTTTACCCAGGCTTCTTTGGTCAATCTTCTGACGTCCATGAGATAACCTTAGGCCTCCCAGATTGTTCCCAGAGGATATGGCCCACCCTTGGAACTCTTAATTCTAGCACGTTGAAGTCTGAACCCATGGAGCAACAGTGACCCCCAGTGGCCAGTAGTGTGGTCTTCTTAACCCCAGTTCGTACTCCTGAGTTGAATAATTACGTATTAGAGAAATTACCATCAATTCATCCTGTTGGCAACTATTAAATAAGTCAACACTCCTTGACATGCTTGGTTTTATTTTTAAAACAGAATATAAATATCACTATAGCAGTGGCAATAACGTATCTATGTTAAATAGGGTGCTTGTTAGGGTTCTTCATGATTCGCATAGCATCAAGAACAGATCATTTTTATTGCAATCCTGTTACTGAGGACATTCTAGGATGTATTAATCCCCTCTTTGGGGACTAAATTGTTTTTAATTAAGTGATTCTTGCTTAGACAACTGGGTTCAAATTCTCACTCTATATGTCTACAAGACTTAAGACATGTCATTTAAGCTTTTTGAGTCCGTTTCTTTACGTGTAAAATGAAAGAAATGGTAGTTTTGTTGTAAGGATTAAAGATACTATCTGTAACATGCCTAGCACAGAGCAGGCACTTAATAAACGATAGCCATTTTGGTGATGGTGGTACAGGTGATTGGGCTGAATGTGTAATGATGCCAGGGCTGTATTAAGCTGTTGAAATTAACTCATTGTGTATGCATTTTAGTGGTGAGGAGTGAAGACTGGAACAGTATTTCCACCTGACTTATGTGTTCTCCCATTTCTTTTCTAGTCTTTGAAACCATCCAATCACGCTACCATCCAGAGCATAGTGAGAGCTGTGGGGGTCGTTCCTGGAATTCCTGAACCTTGCTGTGTGCCAGAAAAGATGTCCTCTCTCAGTATCTTATTCTTTGATGAAAATAAGAATGTGGTACTTAAAGTGTATCCTAACATGACAGTAGAGTCTTGTGCTTGCAGATAACCTGGCAAAGAACTCATTGGAAGGCTTAATTCAATCATTCGTTTATTTTTATGGACTTTTTTTATTTTGCACTGCCAATGCATTTCATTCCAAAAGATTTTTTTATAGCCAAAAGAGAATGAGAAATAGACTGTTGATTTCCACCACGGAGAACTAGACTGTATCTGTTTCTGAATGTAACAAAAAGCAAGATTTTAGGAAATATGGACATCTATTTCTTTCTTTTTTTTAATCACACAAGAAAAATGATCACTCAAACTGTTTTTAGAACTATTAGAGAACACACCGATTTATTTTTGTAATGAGCTTTCAAAATAGATTGAAGTAACACCAATAGCTTATCATTTATCTCTACTCACAGAGAATAGAATAATTTCATATTTCAAAGTAGGCTTATTGCCTTAGATTCATGAGCAACTCAGCAAGTGCTAAGTAATCCAATCAACTTTGATGTTTATCTTAAAAATTTCTGAGACTCTTGTTTACCTGTGTTTTTCTCCACAAGTCATTTTGTGAATGGATGAGGGGAGAGTATGTGCTGAGTGTTAGTGTGTATGTGTGTACATTGCCAGGTTCCTGTGCCCTCTGTCGGAAAGTTTGCTTAACATGCTTTTATAATTCAGTCTACACAGGATTCTTTGTTTTTTTCATTTCATGTTCTGGCAAGTCCTATTCAATTATGAGAACTTTACCAAAAATGATGGAGCGATCCAAGAGCATATGCGGAGAGTTACCACTTGGCCCAGCCATTTAATTGGAAATGCAGTTGTTTTCATTTCATTGCCTCCCAGAAAAGGGAACTAGCAACCCAATATTCGAAAACCCAGATGCAATTCCTCTTCTATACTTCTTTTTCACAGGTACTTTTATTTGTTCTTTTATATTGAATTCAAAAATTCAATTAAATTTTTAAAATTTAATTTTTAGTTCTCTTCATATGCCCTTACTTCCTGTGAAGTAATCAATAGATACTGAGACTCAAAAACGGATGGAGTATTGAGATTTCTTTAAATGAGCAAAGTAACCACAATCACATGTCGAATAGTATTCTTCAGCTACATCCAAGTCCAGGGACTGTTTCTCATGGATTAAGGCTTTTGGTTCAGCCATGAAATCTATACTTTAGCAAAGCTCGCTAAAAATTATCCACCAGGAAAGGAAGTAAAATATAGACACTTGGTTTTTTCCCATTTCCATTTTCATAAATATCTCCTCTTATGCTTTCGCCCTTGAAAAATTGTTTCAAAAATCTTTTGCTCACTTTATTTACATACGTGACAGAAACGTTTTCAGGCCATGCATTGGTGTTGGTGTTATATCTGTGCCTCATCTTAGTTCCATCTGACCCGATTAGTAACAACTAAGCCATTTCAGAGACTGTGAAGTATCAGAAGACATGGGATTTTGTTCTGTCTCTGCCTATAGCTACCTATGTTTCTTCGTCATTTAATAAATAGTTATTGAGTATCTATTTTGTAAAAGGCACTGTGTTAACTGTGTGTCTTTAGTGTCCTCGCTGGTAAAATGAAAAGCCTGACTAGCTGAGCTGAAGGGCCTTCTGGCACCGAAAGTTTGGGTTTATGCTGTTTCATACACATCTTTCTTGAATGGATGATAGTCATAGATGTAAAAATACTAAGGTATCTCTGTTCATAAGCCAGAGGTAAGAACATTCTACTCTTCAGTGTTTGTGAGTGAGTATGGCATTCTCTGTGGTTTCAGTGGTATTTCTGTCTTATAGGAAACCTATTATCAGGAGATTACCATGAAAAGGAACTCTTTGACACTTTTTGGAGGTACACGAAATTTGGCTTGCATGTGTATTAACTCCATGGATGAGACACACCAGTTCTAAATAATGAATTAAGTTCAGTGCCTGCATTACTATGGGTTCTTATAGTTAATATTTTGTTCTGGTAGCATAAAGATTCAAAATGAGATAGATGATGAATTATTTTTTAATAAATTTTATCAAAAATTTGAAAGCAAAATTGTGTAACAGAAATGAGCCAGAGTGTGGCCACCATATCCTGATCATACTGTCTTTCAATAAAGAAAACTTCTCTTGGGGCTGGCCCCGTGGCGTAGTGCTTAAGTTCATGCCTTCTGCTTCAGCGGCCTAGGTTCGCTGGTTCCAATCCCAGGCACAGACCTACACCACTTATCCGCTATGCTGTGGCAACGTTCCACATACAAAATAGAGGAAGATTGTCACAGCTGTTAGCTCAGGGCTAATCTTCCTCAAGGAAAAAAGAGGACGATTGGCAACAGATGTTAGCTCAGGACCAATCTTCCTCAGCAAAAAAAGAAAAAAAGAGAAAATTTCTTTTTCCTTGGTAGATCTGATGAAATTCTCAACTGAGCTTTTTCTAGAGGTATTGCAACCAAAACCTCTAGCAATTCCCAGTATTACTTCTCAGCCTTCTTCTATCCAGATGTCTGTTTGTGACCTTCCTTAATTTGAACTGATGCCCACTTATTGTATACTAAATCCTACAATGGCCAAAAAAATCCTCTAAATAATAAAAATTTCCAAGTACAAACTGAGATTTTAAGTAGCAATTGATATGACAAAATTATAACACAGTGAAAGAGCTTGGATAGCCCCTTTAGCAATGAGAATAGATTTTGACCAGGAGTTATTTCTGGATGACCTTGTCGCTATCATTTTGCTGCTGCATTGAGGACATATTACGATATTAACGGGAATCATTTTATTCACAAAGAATAAAGGAAGATTACTTTTCAGTAGTAGGGGTTAAAGTAAATGAGTTAATATTTTAATTAATAAAAATTTACTTGAAATAGTTGGAAAATTGAGTGATTATTTCACAATTTGTTAGGTACTAGTGTCTGTGTAATTACTACATAGACTTTTTACAAATCTCCTGATGTTAAAGTGACATTGACGAGAAGAGAAATTACATTTACAATGGCATTTCCTAAGTCGTCTCTTTCTCTCCCTAACTCAGTCTCTGTCTCTGTCTATCCCCTCTCTCTCTCTCTTTCTCTCTCCCAACCACCCCTCACCCCCATTCCTACATATGAAACATACACACACACAGAGTCACTTAAAAAAGTATTTTTTTTCAGTGACTGTTCTCTTGAATTCAAATTCAGGGGCTGCTGATGTCACTATAATATTTTCAAAGTATTTTGTTGTAACCTGTGTGAATAATATACAATTTATAGGATTTGGGGTTGTAGAATTTAAACTGGAAGATTCCCCAGATCTCAGGACTGCAATATTCCAGATCAATTTTTACATTCACCTTGCTCTATATTAATTGATGATCATTTATTCATTAAGATTAGATTTTTTTACCTTAATATTTCTCAAAAAAACTCTTTTTGCCCATTTAATATTTTTATAGACAATCATACGTGTATAATACTATCAGTCTGACATAAAAATTTGTTATATAATAACATTATTCAGTTTAGTCTTTCACTTTTCTCTTTGCTAATAAGTAACTAATGTCTGGATATGGACATTTTGTTGAACCAAGGTTGGGTTAGTGAATAGTTACGCATATTTGATGTGTAAGGTTACATATGAGATTAAATCTTGGGTAAGTCTGACTTCTCTGTATAGCATTTTTCCCCTTGAGAATTGTACTTCAATGTAGTTTATAGTTGATTAAGTGAACTTTTTCTAAAACCCAAGCCTTCCCTTCAGCTTTTCACATTAGTTTCTGTAAATGTTTTAGTTGAGAATTTAATGCTTGTACAGTCAATGGCAATTTAAAATATATATATTATATATGTATATGGAAAAACTCTAAAGATGCTTTTAATTTATTTAATGGCTGTTGCCTTTCTATAATGGTGATAATTTTCATTCTTAGATGGTAAGAAAAAATTCTTTTTACTATAGTTATTACATGCAAAATGGAATTTGGTTCTTTAGTCAAATCCATTAAAGGGGCATATTGCAGTGAAACTGTGAAGGATACTTCACTACTGATGTATAAGCTTTGCTGAATTTGTATCATTTTCCTCCAGTAATGGAGAGCTTTTTATTATACAGTATGAAAATAAAAATTGCTTAATTGAATACTTCCTCATTCTTTTCTACTTGTCATTGGGAAAGACTGCATTTTCAAAACTGTTTCTACCGTGCTACATCAGTAAAAAGGTCATAAAGCTTGGGCGCAGAGTTGGACATTTTCAAATGGTATCATGAATGGAGCATCATAACCTACTATCAACATATTATAACCTATTATGACCTAACATGATTAATACCATGGAACATACGGAAATATACCAAGAAGGGGAAAATTCTTATGTCTTCCAAGCTTGAGAAACTCAAAACTCGAATCATGTCATATTTTGTTTTTTATTTGTTTTGGGGTATTTCTTGTTTAACCACTAACTCCATATTTCCTATTGGGAGATATTTTCTTTTTTGTGAATGCCTGACTCTCTATTTTGACAATAACTTTTTTATCAGTCACTGTGACCATATCATGTTCATTTTAGGATGATAAGCATCTAAATTCAATTAATCTGATCATTGAGATGCATTTCACCATTTTTGTTTAGGATCTAGCTTTCTCTTTAAGAAAAAAAAATGACCTGAGGTTAAGAAATAAAATATACTTTCATATTATTTTCACTCATTTAATCTATCTCTGTTAGATTTATTCAATCTGTGATGTTTAATGAAAACCATAGCCTTTTGGAACTACAAGGCACTTTAGAGATCATCTTGAGCAAGGTCCTTAACTTCTCCGTGCCTCAGTGATCTCACCTATGTAATGGGCCAATGAACTTCCTGCCTCCTATGGTTGCTACAAGGTTTAATGATATAACCCATGTAAATTACTTTGCCAAGCACCTAAACAGAATAAAGACTTAGTTACTGTCAATTGTTATTATTATCTAATCCAGTCTTCCCATTTTCCAAATGAGGAAATGTGGACATGCTGTGGTTTACACCTATTTGGATATCTACTCATCATGCCCTCCTCTAAAAACTGACTCCCACCCACGGAGATTGGTTCTTTGACACATAACAAAGATAAGCATGTGACAGAAGTTCAGAGAGAAAAGAAGAAATCTGGTACAGATAGAGCATCGAGCCTTGCAGAGTCAGGAGAGTAGCAGCCTTTTGTTTCCTGATGATATTCCAGTCTCAGTTCCTGTCTCTTGTAAACTGCACTTCCTATCCTTGGATTATATGAGATATCCCTTCAAACCAGTAAAGTGCTCACTCTTAATTAAGCAGGTTTGAGCCGATGTCTGTAAATTGCAACCAAAAGAATCTTGACTACAATGTAGTGAACTGTTGAGTATGCCCATATGATGAACTACTGACATCAGAACTCCTTGTAACATGATGCAGAAAGCATGGTCTTTGAATCTGAGTCAATCTTGTGTTCAAATCCTGGCACTGCCTGTTACCACCAGGGTGACATGTGCCCTTGAGGAATATGGATCAGGTCATCATATCATGAAGGTGATCAGTTCTGTGACTAATGAAGACTTCCCAAAAAGTCACTGTTGTAATAAGTTGACTCAGTTCTCAGGCCAGAGGATTGCCTTGAAATACCTCTCAGGATAGGACTTTGTAGCTATTAGAAGATATGGCGGGGTTACGATAGAGAATAAGAACTTTGCGTACAAATCCACATCATCCTCAAAGTTATTTAGTATTACTAAAGATTATTCACATTATACAAAACCATCTTAGTTGGTGGAGATGTGCTTGATGCTATAGAGCATCAATATCTAAATTATCCACAGTCTCAGAATGAATATCAACCAGTAAAACTAAAACATAATCACAGTAGGAAAAAGCACAATACCTCAGGGTTATATATTAAATACCCAAAATTTAAGAATCCATGAGTCTTTTCTTCATGCTCTTATGTTCACACACACACACACAAAAAGGATGTTCTCATGGTATGAGTTTTTAAATTTAATTTGGGTTGTAATATTTGTCTTTTCAGTTGCACTTGATGTAACCCTGGATTCTAGGCCTGCCATTGCTAAGATCTGGGCTTGTGAGCTTTGCTAAGTCCCTTCACCTCTTGGAGATCTTAATTTTCTCTTAGGTGGTCTTGAAAATCCCTTCTTGCTCTAGTATACCAGATTCTATGACCCAAACATCCTTACTAAGTCACAGCTCATAAGCATTTTCACCCTGAGCATGTCTTAGGCAAAAAGAACAGCAAAAGTGATGATGAAAGGGAACATGGGAAGAACAGGAGGAAGGTCTGGGAAAATCAAACTTCCCTCAGCTTAGAAGGAGATCCTAGGTTCTACCTCACTTTATCATATGACGGTGTTTGTGGGACTCCCCCACATTTCACGCCCATATTTAACTTAAAGCATTCACCCACCCATTTTAACAGTAAAAATAATTTTTAAAAACTAGATGCATCTATCATTAATTAGAGAGTATAGCATGAGAGTTAGGGGTTCAGTTGAAGCCAGACTATGTGCATTAGAATCCCAGCTCTGTCCCTTACCAGCTGTATGAGAAGTTATTAAACCTCATGTGTAAAATGAGAGCAAAACACAGAACCTACCTTACAGAGTTGTGGGGATTACTTGAGTTATTACACATGAAACATTTATAAATGTTCATAGCACAAAGTAAAGGTTCTATAATATTTGCTTTTTGATTTATTAGATGTACTCTATACATTTCCATGCATGAGTCCTCATTTGACCCTGAGACGTGGGATCTCAGGTATTATCCCCATTTTGTTCATCAAGGAGAATAATGGACTCAACTGAGGTCAGAGCCATGCTGGTGTCAGAGCTGGGCCTCAAGCAGTGGTAGACTCACTCTAATTGTCCTTTTCCACTTTGCTTCAGATGCCTCTACTTAAAGAGAGCCATCAGAATAAGTATTCCCTCAGAGTTCTGAGAAATTTGGGGGAAATAGACAAACACATTAGATAAGGAGCAAAAAGTGTTTTGATAATAACAACGTTTGATTAATGTTTGGATCTGAGCCTTTTCCCCCTGAGTTGAACTTCCCTGCCCACTCGTAGGCCAACTCCACAGGGTGCAGAGACCGTCCTGTGAGCTAAGGTCCTGGAAGATGGAAAAATGTGTGTTTTCAATAGATAATTCTGAAAAGGGGAAAGTCAAAGAGGGGCTGAACTGAGTACTCAATTTCCACTTCCTCACATCATCAATCAGATAAGTTCCTCCTCTTAAAAAAAGAGGATGGAGACAGGAACCGAAAATGTTGCTCCATTACTGTTTCCTCCCAGAGAGTACAAGGAGCCCCATCAAGAAATGTGGACCAGTTGGTGAACGGTCACTTCCCACTGTCTCACCAGTAGGATCATTGAGCCTCTTCCCATGGGGAAGAGACATGACAGAAGCAGGACAAGTCTTCCTCTACTGTCCCTCTGAGCAACTGGGGTAGAAGTTGAAGCCGGATTCATGGAAAGGTGAGGAATGGGGTAAAGGTGACCCCCCTAAAATAAACTGTGATGTGAAATGTCTCCCCTCATGTTTTCAATTATGGTGGACATTTATTATGAATCTAAAAGGAGTAAACACGATATACAGCAGTCATTTCAGGTAGCTCTTGGGATTTGTTTCTCTAAGAATTCTCCTGTGGGGCTGGCGGGTGGCACATCAGTTGAGTTCGCTCATTCTACTTCCGTGGCAGGACCCAGGTGTCCTAGTTCGGATCCAGGTGTGGGCACGGCACCACTTGTCAAGCCATGCTGTGGCAGACATTCCACATATAAAGTAGAGGAAGATGGGCACAGATGTTAGCTCAGGGCCAGTCTTCCTCAGCAAAAAGAGGAGGATTGGCAGCATACGTTAGCTCAGGGCTAATATTCCTCAAAAAAAAAGAAAAAAAGAATTCCCCTGCCCTGTTTACTACACCTGTTTTCTCCAGACCTATCAGAGGATGTGGAAAGAGAGTTCATCTTTGGTTTGCTTCAAGTCCAAGACTATAGTTGTCTGGGTATCTGAGCTGCAGCCTGTAGGGAGAGAGAAGTCTATTCTGTGAGATACTGGAGGCTGCTGAGAATTAACAAGGTTAGAATATGAAGCATACTCCCCTGGACCCTTAACATTGTCGATTTTAGTTTGAAACAACTTGGTTTTCATTTTTCCCTCATTTCCTTCTGGGGCATTAAAACACTGCTCTGAGGGCAGTAAGAAATCCAGTCCTAGAAAAAGTTAAATCAGAGCATGGCAGGTGTTATCCTCCCTCAAATTCCTTCATCCCAGCCCCACACCCACTCTCTCTCTCTCCCTCTCGCTCTCTCTCTCTCTCTCACACACACACACACAGATGTTGGCTCCACTGCAATATCACTGAAGAGGGAGAGAGGTATGGTTATAGTCCAGCCCTTGACTCAAAATACTAGCCAACTACATTTTCAGACTTGAAACATGGGCAAACTGCCATCAGGTTACAGTCAAAACCAAGCCCCACGTCACGGGGTTCAGGCCAGATGTGAATGCAGCAGTCTGGAGGTGAGGCAATTATGTGCAAGAACCATGTGACAGAGCTTTTCCCAAAATGGACTTATTTAAGAGGAACATTTTGGTGTTTATAGGACTTCAGCCCTGCTTTCTGGAGATTTTCCATCACTATAAACACTGATACACATACACACGAACATACATGGACTTTTAAAATTGGGTCCAGCATGTGTAATTTCATTAAATTATCTTATTTGCTAGAAATGGGAGAAATTCATGACACAATATCAAAATTTTGGCAGTTGAAACAGTCACATAGACAAATGCTGTATGGAAGCTGGAGCCCATAGTCTGGTGTCAGTAACCTGAGTTGGGAAACTTGGAGCTGTTAGTAACGCTTGGATGAGGTTGTAATGCAGAGGTGGACGGCCCGCCTGGCTAGAGGGCATGCGTCGAGATAACTGAGCCTTTTGCTGCAGTGCTTTCTACTTCCTTTGATCTGAAGCTCACTTTGTAACACTTTCAACGTGTTACAAAGAGAAGGTTCAGGTTTGATAGGTTGAACTGAGAGCATTTTGAAGTTACAGTCGCCTCTAATGTCAAGAATCAACTACAATCAGTAGTGCCCATTTCCTCTACCCGAGT